AAGGAAGTCGAACTAATTGTATGGCTATTGTATAATATAGAGAGGAACCTTCTAATTCTAAATCAAACAGCTTAAAATATGAAAAAATTAGTACAATCTGCACCTCTAAAACAATAGTTGGAATCAGCCTGATATATTTAACAAAAATGAAGGGGAATAAAAGTAGCTAAGAAAACAACTGGGAAAACTATTACTGTACCATCAAAACTAGCGTAAAACTACTTTAACTCTTAATATTATCTACGGTACTTGATAATTTGTAATCACAGAATAATCAGCTTTAAAAGAGGAAGTAAAATAAGCTTAAGATGAGAAAACAGCATACGAAGTCATAAAAAGGTGATGTATAATCAATGTATTTTGTAAAATTCTTTCTCAATATAGCTTACCACAGGTCGTAGATCTGGATGATATAGAACGTACCCGTTCCGGTTGACCATAAAAGAGTAACCATTAACACCCAACTAAAAAGAAACGAAAGAGAGCCAGTATAATACCCCTCGGCATGCCAGCAAACGTATTAATTAAAATAAAAATTACTTTACGCATCTGATCCTGTAATGTATAGCAATAAAAACCAAGATTTAATATGTACTCCATAAGAGCTTCAAAAATCAATGCATATATTAGCTTCAATGTAGAAACCCCTTAGAAAACTTTCCCATTTGTTAAAAACTATTTTGATACATGTGAATCATTCAAAGCAGAAGGGACACCTACTATTACAAACAAAAATCAATTTGTTTAGCATTCCCAAAGTATGAATAACCCAGATGCTTAGAAATAAAGCACAAATCTCGTTAAATACCAAGACATTACACAAAAAGGACTCTAAAGAGGGGGAGGACGTGAAAATAGCTTTCTATACAAATTGCAGATCATACAATGATGCTTTCCCCATGCATATGGGGGTGAACAGAAACAGGTAGGAGCTGGGGAATTAAAGCTGGATGTCCTTTTGAACACCCTGAAGTGGGTTTAAACGTGGATGTGTCACTTCCTGAGTTGAGCGCTCTAACCACTGCATTAATGCAAGTCCCGTTTTTCTTGCCATTGCAGAGTTAATAAAAGGGATAGGATAGGTGGGGTGCGATCAAGCCCCGTTGCATCCCTTTACTTCATTCTTACCTTATATGGGGGAATAAGCTTCTCAATTTCTCTAATCGGAACATCTGTACCCGCAACTCCGAGCAGGTTTGCCGATCTCACCTGGAAAAGAAATATGACAACATGCTGATTTAATCAAGAATTTGATAAAAGTTTTTATAGTGGATTTAGTTTGTTTTTTTAAACCATAAAGTTTAATTTACGCGTATTTTAAATTGACTAAGACACAACGCTACAGGATATGGGTCTTATTGAAATGAAAAAAAAAAAAGGCAATCAAATTCCTTTAAGGCAACATAAAATTTTCAGGCACTACTATACATACAGTGGTCATCAACGACCAAAAATCACTAACTTCAAACAGAACTTCGAATTTCAAAAAACTCACCAGACTTTGCATCTATACTAAATAATGAAAGGAATTATTCAAGAACAAGTCTGTACACATGCAGTCCTAGGCAAATTCAATACATGTATTGTGCAATAATCCCAAAAAGCTGTCATTTTACTACATAACTATGGCTGATTACTCTTACACTAGACAAGAAGATTTTGAGGAAACTTGAATATGTAAAGCTCATTTAATATCTAAACATGAAAATTAAGTGACGCTTAAATTGATTATATATATATATATATATATATATATATATATATATATATATATATATATATATATATATATATATATATATATATATATACTGTCTCATTCGAAGTGTAAGGTAATCGTCCATTGTTATTTTGCTTATGTTACTGTTAAAAGACAACAATATAATTGAGAATTCCTATTAGTATTTAAATAATAAAAATTATGTAGATAACTCTCTAGATCTTCCAGAGAGACTTTGTGACATGTGTTACATACTAGCAAGATTGTCTGCATGGGATTTGCTAGAAAAAGTGAAAAAAAAAAGTGATGTAGAGAGGTTATTATGCAAATAAACACAAATAAAATAAATAAGTAAATAGATAAATGAAATAAATAAAAATATTCAGAGTATTTGCTTATAAGAATGACAGCAAAAGAGGCATAATGTAAGCTCCGAGATGAAAAAAGTACAAAGAAAAAGTAACTGAAATGATTAAAGAAAGTGGCAAGCTGGGATGCAAATTAATATAAAATCGTTTCTCAGTAGGAATATCATTATATATATATATATATATATATATATATATATATATATATATATATATATATATATATATATATATATATATATATATATATATATATATATATATATATATATATATATATATATATATATATATATATATATATATATATATATATATATATATATATATATATATATATATATATATATATATATATATATATATATATATATATATATATATATATATATATATATATATATATATATATATATATATATATTTTATATATAAATATATATATATATATATATATATATATATATATATATATATATATATATATATATATATATATATATATATATATATATATATATATATATATATATATATATATATATATATATATATATATATATATATATATATATATATATATATATATATATATATATATATATATATATATATATATATATATATATATATATATATATATATATATATATATATATATATATATATATATATATATATATATATATATATATATATATATATATATATATATATATATATATATATATATATATATATATATATATATATATATATATATATAATTATATATATATATATATATATATATATATATATATATATATATATATATATATATATATATATATATATATATTATATATATATATATATATATATATATATATATATATATATATATATATATATATATATATATATATTATATATATATATATATATATATATATATATATATATATTATATATATATATATATATATTATATATATATATATATATATATATATATATATATATATATATATATATATATATATATATATATATATATATATATATATATATATATATATATATATATATATATATATATATATATATATATATATATATATATATATATATATATATATATATACTGTATAATGACAAATAATTAAGGATACAATTAATTGAGGTAAATTTTTGAATATATTTTTGAGGTACTCATTTAACACTGTCGCTACCAGACACTTGAAATAAATAATTAAAATTTCTAGTTATCAATGACGGTTGCTTCCATAATTTTACTTTTACAGACTTGACGGACACACGTTAATTAATACTTATAAATACAATAAAAAATAAAAACCTCGAGAGTTCAATCCACTCTGCTTAGTAAGGTAAACTCTACCTGATAAAGTTTATATTTTTTTCACCAAACACAAAAAGTCTTACTTACACATTATAATCTACATTTACAAACTATAATTATATTAGTAGGTACTCAGCTACATAACAAAGTTCACAACGTTCTATAATTTAAGCATCTAAAAGTATCAAAAAATGAAATAAAACTTGACTACAGCTCCGGTGTCATCATGAAAACTATTTCTCAAAACTAGGCAAAGTCTAGGAACTGGTAGATTATTGATGTCGATACGTTGAACGACTTAGCAAACTACCGTTAATCGCACTAATACTCAAAGATCTAGAGAAACAACAATGTGCTGGACATCCTTTGGAGTATTAAAACATAGGCATACACATTTCGCAACGGAGGAAGGAAAAAAATAGGTCAATCCCTCCATGGTAAATATCGCCTTGGCTATGGTATACTAGCAGCACTACGTTTCCTTAATGGCTGTTTTCTAGAAAACCTTTCTAGGGCTGGTTTAATACACTGAACTCTATTGGTTTCTAGACACTTTTTTTTTTTAATTATCAATACCTCTCTCCTCCTAGTCATCCAAATGGAATCATTGACCAAAACTCGCTCGGTGATGTTCTAAAGGAAATAAAGAGGTTGGAAATTAGAAAGTCATTGAAAAAAAGAAGAAGCAACAGCTTGGTATATTATCTGAGCTGTGTTACCAACATGCTAAACATAAAAATTAACACGAAAGAATGTTCACAAGCATTAAACTCTATACATGCAACCCTTGCATAGGTCAAGAAGACCTCTTCATCCAGAGTATAAATGTGAAATTAAAAATACAAATGAGCATAAGAAGCAGGATTAAAATTAAAAAAAAATATTGGCAACTACACGCAGGAGGGTCTACTGTGATTAAAAAAAATGCTTAAGCAACAATAGAGAAAAAAAAAGGAAATGTAGCTCATTCACAAAAGAATATAACACCAGCGTCATTCAAAATCAAAGAATTTTTAAATATAATTCAATCACAGTCAACAAAGAAATTATGAATAGCGAAAATATGTGTAGGGAAGCATATCAATATTTTTACTTATATATTCGATATTATTTAGTCAAAGCATACAAAAATTGAAAACCTGAGAGTATTTACAGTAACAACAGAATATTTATAAGCAAAGAGGCAGCCATAAACATAATTTTAACACAGTACTTAAGAATCACTGTTTTGCAGTTCTTATACTGCAATTCTTATTTTATTCACAAATACATTGCACCACTTTTGAAAATATATAGCAAATCATGGAATATTCGTGGGGCACCATTCCACAAATTCTGCTCAACTGTTCCTTGGGAGCTGCTGTTGAGAAACCAAGCATTAAACTCCTGGTAACAGGGAATATGTGTCACAGATTTGGTTTGCAAATTCATACAGCATTCATAAGCAATAACCAAGATGTTCAGAATATTCATAAAGATATTTTCTATAGAAGCAAGTGAAAGCCCTAAACTTTAAAATGAAAGCAAAATATATGTATAAGATCAAATAAAAATATGAAAACATATTTTTGCCCCTGGCTAGGATTCAAACCTAGGACACATTAAAAGTGTACCAAGGCCCTACCAACTGTACCACTAAAGGTGTAAGAGAAGAGAGAAACCTTTCAGCTAACTGTTGGAGTTAGGGAATGAACACCGAGTGTCTATGTTCATTTTACTCTCTATTCTCGAGCTCATTGGAGGCTTTGTTTAGCATTCAAAGAGCTGATGTGGAGGTCATAATTTTTCATGTACAGTATTTTGTTGGTTACTTTCCAGTCATAGCTTTAAAAAGCGCAACAAATAATTCGACTTTGTCTTAAGAGGTCTACTATAATAATTAAATATATATATAGTGTACCTAATATTTTCTAATGGTTGAATTTATGTTGGACATAAGGATTACAAATATTCATACTCTTCGATATCTTAACAAATATTCTCTAAACATTCAAAATTTAAGTCTTAGTAGCTATTCAATGTTCTTAACAAGGAGTGCTTTCCAAAGACCCTATGTATTCATTAGAAGAACTAAAGTTAGACACTGAACAAAGTTCAAAATATAATGACATCATTAAATTAATACTTAATATCAGCAAAATTAGTCCACATGAACCATATAGCTAATTATCTTTTGCAATGAGAAATGTGCTTGAAATAAGGTTTAAATTATGGAGAAAGGATAAGATCCTTGAGGCCTTCAGATTCTGGAATGAACGTAAATAAATTTTTTTTCTTGTATGTTTTTTGATTTAGGCAAAAAAAAAAAAAACACCCAAGTGATATAGCAGCAAAGGCAACTAGTTTGTTTTCCAAACCTATCAACATGTCAGGAGTGCATAGGATGAAAAGTAAGGAGCCAAGAACACTACACTGAAGGACACCTAAGATCACATTACTGATGGTAAGAAAAAGATTGCACCAGTAATTGTCTCAAAATGTAAGAAAAGCTCTCCATACAACTTGTATGTGGATATTGGCAATTTTATGCTTGCAATATCAAACTCTATCCATCAAAAATTCAATCACTGGAAATATATCAAATATAAAATATTCTGGTCCAAAAATATATATCGACGACTAAAAATGTACAAAAAAAATGGTAGTCTTGTTACAATGGGGCTCTTTTCCCTTCTAAAATTCAGAGAACAATAAATGTTCTCAATTCCATTTGCGAAAGAGAAGGTAATATGTATAAACAAGAAAAAATAAAATATAAAAAGAAAAGGTTAAATGATTACTAGGGGAATTTCCTGAAACTTATCAGGACGATTGGGTTTGGTGATTGATGGCAAAATAGAGCGTCCATGATCATAGATCTGCAAAAAATAAATGTTGAAAAAAAAACTGGAATGGAAAATAAATATTCAATAACAACAAAAGCAAAGTTTACCTGAGCTAATTAAGATAAAAGACACATTTAATATCTTGCAATACTACAAAAAAAAACATCAAAACACAAAACAGGAGTACTCAAACTTAAGGTATTACATACATAAAATTACTGATGTGAATTTGTTAAAAGATTGGAAATGGTAAATTCGGTTGAAAATATTACACGTGAAAAAGAAAAGAATATTATTTTTGAGGGATTTCTATCATAGAAAAATAGACTGGAGTAGTCTTGACACACACACTAAAGAGGTTATATTTGGGGCAAAGATATAAAAATTGAGCGCCACGAAATCTCTTGCACCAGTATGTACTGAAACTAACAAGGGCCAGGGAGGAGATGAACCATCACTGCTCGAGCTAGTGCACTGATAATGTTTTTTTCAGAATAGGACTTACTAATGCCAAAGAGAAATTATTCAATACTGAATGTAAGAGAGGGCAAAGGAGTAGAGAGAGAAATGCTGGAGAAGGAAAAATCTAAATGCCCGACAAATTATAAATGAGCGAGGAATGATACTTAAATAAGAAAAGAATGACAGAGAGGGCTTATGATAGAGATATTACCAGGAAAGCTAAGTATGACACCAAGCTTTCCCAATGCTTTGTTAGGGGTAGCTAATATATAAAGAAAAATTTTCAAGTTATGAAGTGCATAGAGAAGCAATATTGAGACAGACGAAAAATTGGAAAAGGAATTTCAACAGCATTTACAGAACCAAAACTCCACCCCCTCATGCTGCAGAAATAAGCTATCACGGGACAGTATTAGAGAACACCATCTTTTCAGCTACAAAGCGTTGACGGCATTAGATGGTTATAAAGTTATGGGGCCTGACGATATATCCCCTTATGTGCTGAAGAAATATGCTGAACCATTGTTAATGGCATTATGCATCACATGTAAAAAGTCGCTGGGATCTAAAGAGATGTCTATATGCTGGAAACATGGTATCTATCTTCAGATGGGAAGGAGAGACACAGGTCTAAATAACAGGCCTGTTTCACTGACCAGAATTGCTTGCAAAGTTACAGAGACGCTACTGAAAAAAACACTTCACTGGGAGTCTTTATGTCAGTGAGACAGCATGGTTTCAAAGAACGCAGGTCTACAATAACAAATTTCTTAGCATTTTACGATGGGATAAGCTAATCTTACAAGAAAGAGAAGGCTGAGCAGATTGTATATTTTTTCTCTTAAGAGGCCATCGACAGAGTACCACATGGGAGACTTCTTAAGAAGTAGCACGTAATATTGGGTAGAAATGTCATGGAGTGGATAAAAACTTGTTTAGAAGGAAGGGAACATAGGGTTAGAGTAAGACATGCAGTATCTGATTGGAGACAGGTTAGCAGTGGGGTACTACAGGAATTAGATTTAGGACATCTCTGTTTGTTATATATGTAAATGATCTCACAGACTCTGTTAATGCATTTTGAAATATAAGTGCATATGATGTAAATATTGTGAAGAGCGAAAAACGAAAGTAATGATACAGAACTTTAGACAAGAGGCTAATGAAATTCACTGCTTCAAAATGTAAAATCATGAGAATGGGTAAGAATGTAGGAAGGTCCAGCTTGGGAAATTAATAGCAAAAGTGGAACTTCAAGAATCTGAGTGAAAAAGATCCAGGAGTCAATGTATTGGCAGATTTGTCGCCGGAAATGCATAAAATTGGTATAGTAAAGGCATTATTTGCTTTCTTAGCAGACATAAGGGTTTCCTTCAGGCATATGAACAATGAATTGTTCAGAAATATTGAAGTGCTTAAAGTGAGGTCAAAGCTTGAATGTGCAGCGTCCTTTTGGAATCCGCACTTGAAGAAGCATATAAATATGATGGAGAAAGTTCAAAGACATACTACGAAGCTGGAAGCAAATATAAATAATCTCTATTATGAGTAAAGGGTCAGGGAATTACATCTAGCATTACTCAAGGCTAGAAGGGAGAGGGGATACAGTAAGGGTTTTAAAGCCTTCCATGGATTTCAGAAAGTAGACAAGGAGCTATATTTTTTATGAGTTGCTCTAAAACTTGAGATCAACGTGCAAGGCTTTGATGGAAAACTTCCTTGGAAGGCGAAAGGAAATAGCTTTCTAGTTCAAGAATAGTTGATAATTAGAATTTGTGAAAGTTGGAAACACTAAATGCTAGATGCATTCACAGTTTCTAGGGGAGATATGATGAATGTTAACGAGTAAAAATTGAAACAGAGTAAGACACGAGAAGTTACGAACAGAGGGATGTACTACTGAGAATCATGTGCCTGTCAATGATTTATAATGGCCAGCAACAAGCATTCAGCTGCTGGAAAGAGGGTACATGCCATCAAATGCAACGTGACTGACATAGATACAAGATGAAAACCATTCAAAAACGGAAAGGACGACAGCCCACTGTTGCTGTTGCCTACCAATTTGGATATGCTGCATTTACATCAACACATTATTCAAATATTCTTCCTGAATTAAGAAGCTTACAAAGTGGTAGCGTCTGTGGCTTTGAAGCGTCAGGTCGAGGGTTCACGGCCTGAGGTTAGCAAAGGTATGTACTCAGGGTAACAGTCATACCTGCCAAACCAAAGTTCTTTTCAAGAAGGTAATGTCCTAGTCCTTAGTAGAAAAGGGAGTCCGTAACGTAAAACCGATCACATCGCATCACAAAAGTAAGTATCATGCTAAAGGCTACAAGATTACTTAACAAGTGAAAACAGACAATATCAGTATGGAAAAGATTCTAACTACGTGTATAGAAGCTTAGATCCAGAAACAAGTTCTTCAAAGCAAGCAAATAACTGAAGCCATGGAAAGAAAGAAAAGACACAAACACACTAAGACATCAAATTGAAAATCAAATCATTTTCTGCGAAAAGAGATGCTTTCCTCATTACAGGAACTGAACAGACATGCATAATATCAGGGCATATGGATAGGCTACAAGTGAGGAAGAGCAGGTGGCAATTCAACTCCCAGAACACAGTACGAAATGGCTCTTCTTCTACGGCTATATGGGGTATGTAAAGTTTGCATAGCTTTACATAAGCCACTTTCCATGAAATATCTGGATTGCTCCTCTTTATTTTCTTGGCATTCTCTGTATAACCATAGAAGAACAAGATTCATGTGTATCTTGTTTTTTTAAAGATTTGAGGGCACATCAAGTTCTTTGTCAAACTACAGAAACACCTACAAACACACGAAAAGGCAAACTGTGCAGTAACTCGCTGACTATTTTGACAGCATAGTAAAACGAAAAGTACCAGACGGGCAACCTAACACAAGAACAGATCCTGCTTTCGGGAGACAACAATTGCCTGCTTGAGCCTCTAACCTATTCCACCATGACAACCACCTCTGTGTCTCTGAACATGTGACTTTGACTTACAGCCTCTGGAGGACAGCAATATGGATGCTGCTCTTACTGTGTAGTGGTATACAAAATAGTAATGAAAAAAAAAATAATTTGATTTAAATTATATCTTAATTAAATAAGTTCTCTTTTGTTGAATAATTAAGTTTTCAGAGGAATGTAAGAACAAGTAAATTATTGTAATTACGCCTTGGAAAATGTACTGCAACTGGAATAAGTGTATTATTGAGCGTTTGTAACCTCTTTCTACAGTAAGGAATCGGATATTCTATTCACAGATAAAACTTGCAGTTTGTTATTACATGTAAGATAATAACTACTGTATGTCATAATTGCTG